TATACGTTTATTAGTTTTATATAACAAAGTAATAAGAACTAAGGAAATACTCATCAATTCTATTGCAGCCATTCTTGTACGATGAATAAAATTTAAAGTAATCTCTATTTCTTATGCCAGTGATTAGATAGTAAGGTATGACTATTTAGACAATAAGGAATGACTACTGATAAGATTTTACTACGTAAAAATTTTTATTAGTTTTAAACATTAAAAAAAAATCAGTTTGTATTGAGTCTTTATGCCATCTACATGTTCTTTTTTTTATAATTGATGAAACTGACACATGAACACATTAATACTTTCACTTCATCCTTCCAACATCACGTCCCCAAAATTAAAATATTTATTAAACCACTACGTCTCAGTTTGAAATTCTATAAATAGGCTAACACAATGCTTCAACTTCACATCTACGAAAACAAAGAGATTATCATTACCATTTACAGCTTCCATACTGTAACAGATTCTAACTTATATTCACACAATCTTCTTCTTCTTCATCCATATTAACTACTATCTTACATTTATACCTATATTTATCTACGGATAAAAAAATGGCTACACCTCATAAATTCATATCACAAATTTCAGCTTCGGAGACTAATTGGTCAGCAAAAGTTATCGTCACAGGAAAATAATCCCCAAAGACTGGTTGAAATTCCAATAGCCATTACCAAAATCTTGTTCTCATGGATTTAGAGGTATATATACTTTCGTTCCAATAATTTTCTGCCTATCACTATACCTATGTGTTTCGTAAATATTTTCATATTTTTCTAATGTTCATCAGGGAAACAAAGTGACAGCAACAATGTATGATGACAATATCACTGCACTAAACGATGAGTTCCAACTTGGAAAAACATACGTTGTCTCAAATGCAATAGTTAAAGATTTCAAAAGTGAATTTCGGAGTTCTCTCAGTCAAAAAATTTGGAATATAACAGGCAAAATGAAGGTTGAGGAATTAAATGAGGATAACTTGAACCTCCTATTCTCAAAATATGAACTCACTCCATTTGATCAACTGGAGAGGCATATGGACAAGAATACAGACATAAGTATGATTTCTAACATATTAAAATTATACTAATCATTTCATATAATGTTTCATAGTTTAGTTTTTACGTTCAAATTTATTACATGCAAAAATACATAGAAAAAAACTTTACGTGACCTTTTCGTAAGTGTGATGGATGTGGTAATAGCTGTAAGACAGAAATGACTTATTCAAACTAACTTTAGTACACAAGCTTATCTACAAGATGTTATCTTGATAGACAAACAGTTCAAAACCGTAATGCTAACATTATGGGACAGCTTTGTCGAATGGGAATGCACTACAATAATTGAAAACCTTGTAAATAGACCTGTCATATGGGCTACAAATCTCAAGGTTTCTTCTTTCAACGGTAAATTCGTTTTACAAATACTTCATTTACAATGCTATTATGATTTTTTTAAGGAAAAAATTCTTATAAATCATTCCTAATTTTTTTCTGCAGGCATCACACTTTCAACCAAAGTAAATAGCAGTTTTTTCATTAACGTTCAACTACTGGCTGTTGCAGAGTACAAAGAATGGTACTATAACATACCCAACACACATATTGCTTTTACAGCTTTTGTACCAAAAAAAAAATAAAAAACAGAAAAAGAGGATTATTTTAGAACTAAATTTGTCACTATTTCTTGTAGGGTTGAAGCTAACAAAGAAACACTTGACAAGATGACAAAAAATAAACCTTTATTGCTATCAGCTCACCAAAACTCTCTCCTCCAACTAAGAATGAATGGACACCAATTGAGGATTTACTAGGAGTCTACCTAACGGTAATTTTATACTCAGAAAAACACTCTCTCTATATTTCATAACGCACAATATAGTAACATCGCGCATTTTCCTTCGTACTATCTCCCTATCTAATTATAGAGGACATATCTTTTAACAGAAAAATTCTACTGGGTGAAAGCAAAATGGAAAATGGCATCAAGAAACCAAAAATTTCGGTATATGTCTTGCAGCAACTGCAAGAAGATGTCCAACGTAAACTTTGAAGAAATTCATAAATGTCGCTTCTGTAAATATGAACACGCAAAAGCCATACCTAGGTAACTTCTTCCATTACACGTAAGTTCAAATTTTACTAATAATTACTTCATGAACAAGGTACATAAATTATAGCTGGAAAAAAATATGTTTTTAAGGTAAATGCTTTCATCCAACTTGAAGACAAATCTGGTTCATTAGATGCAACCATCATAGAAGATGCAGCAGAGGTGTTATTGGAATGTGATGACAAATCTATAATGGACCATCTTAAGAAGGTAAAACATCACGTCTGACATCCTTCAATTAAAATACGTTCTTTCTTCACAACAAATATGCCGCTCTATTGAAAAATATATTTCGTCTTCATAGGAGCGAAATACAGAACTCAATGATGTCATGAAATTGGAAAGTGATACGGAGATATTGTTTTACCTGAAAATGACAGAAAAGCGCTACGACCCACCTGAGTACTTTTCGAAATCATATTTGTATTCAACTCCTCCACATCGACTGAAATGAATTCTTCAACTATCCCAAATGATCTGAACATGCAACTGAAATGAAAGAAAGTTCAAACAATAAACATGAAAAGGCAAGAATAAAGTTGATGGCCAACCCGATGAAAATTCCATAGCCGCTGAAGAAATCACTCCACCACATGCAAAAAGGTCTCTCTTCCAATCATCAAATGTACCTACTAAAGCAAAATCAAAACCCAAAAAAAGACTCACATGGACTATAAAACTGATGATCAAACCACTGTGATCACTTCCAAAGAAAAACATGAGTGAACAACATCTACATTACTTTTATGATAATAGGCAGCAGTGTTTTATTTTATAGTTTTTGAAAAAAGTAACATGATCAGCCTATTTTTATCTCTACGTTAACGGCCCTAATTGTATACCTCCGGATAAAGACTACGGTTATAATACTACCGAATGGCAATACATTTCTGCTTTTGACTTCAATAAATTGTTGTACATATTTTAGTTTCTTTATTATCTTTCCGTTCTAAATAATATAGTTTTTAAATTAATTAGAAATAATAAAAATTTATGATGCAAAAAACAAGAGAAAAAAATATATAAAGATTATGATAGAGTTTAAATTTTAATTTAAATAATTACAATTAAACGTAAAATTTAGTAACTCAAAATTTAACAAATTACTTTCTTAACCAATATATTAATATTATTTAATTAAACAGAAAAATTAAACAAATTAAATTTACAAATATTAAACAAAGAATATATAAATTTTTTTTTTTATTGAACTGAAATTTAAAGAAATAAATTTTTATCGTAAAGAAAAAACAACTAAAAAGAAAAAGGAATTTATAATGTGAGCAAAACAAACTTATAAAAATATTATGTAATTAAATAAATTAAAGTTATAAAAAAATCAGACAAAAAATATATTCATATTATTTCATTAAAACTAAAAAAGATAAATTTTATCGTAAAGAGAACAAAATTAAAATGAATTTTAAATGCAAAAATAAAAATTATAATATTAACATAATACATTTAAATTAAAATTAGCATTAAAAAGAATACTCTCCATGGACGAAAATGAATCTCCCCGTCCTCAGAGAGTCTCGTTTCTAAAAAGAAGAAAACTCTCCTTTTTAGGACAGTTTCTAAATAGGAGAGTTTTCTCCTCTTGAAAGGAGAGTTTCTTTCCGTGACAGGAGAACTCTCCTTTCAAAAGGAGAGTTGAATTTATTATTGGTTTATCTGAATATTTGAAAAAGGTGTTTCGAAAATTCACGCAGTATTGAAAGAATCTAAATTTTAATGAAGTCTATTAAAAATTAAAATCTGAATTAAGATTTCCTAAATTCCAATAAAATATAAATCTAAGGCTTTTTTTGACAATTTATAATTTTTTGACATCAATCTAAGGCTTATTTTGACAATTAAGATTTCCTAAGGCTTATTTTGACAATTTATAATTTTTTATAAAAAAAAAAAAATTTCTATTTAAATTTTTTAAATTCTTTTTTGTAATTACCATATGGAATCTTTCCATTTTAAAATTAACATCACAGATAACTTACCTCAAATGATTATTTTTATAACCAATTGATTTGCTTCTCCTTCAAACAGTAAATTCTTATCTCATGTCCAAAATAATCTTGCCCGTGCATTGCACAGGCTATAGACTAGTTTATATAAAAATTAACAAATAATCTTAAACACATATTTTATGAGGTTCACAACTTTTTAATCATACAAACTTTTATCAAAATTTTCAAAAAATAAACTAATTTTAATCTCAACCAAACAGAAGGTAATATAAAACCTCAAATCTTAATATGATGTGGTATAAAGTTCAACTAGCTCAATCAAGCATTTAGATTTTAAAATTGATGTTCTCTAATTAGTTACTATCTTGTAAGGACGTGTTACGGATAAAATTTGAAATTTCACATTGATAAAATATCGATATATACAATTGAATATCGAGGACTTGATCATCGAAGATTCTTTGAAGTCATGAAATTCAACCCTTCAATAATTCGAGCAATGTACGTAATCATACTATCTGATTTTATTTTTTTTCTTTATTCAACAGTCAAATCATATGGTTTGAAGTCGAACTTCTTTACACGTGTTCTGAATTTCTGGGTCGTGGCTATGTATGAGGTAGGAAAATTCACAATTGAAAATGAAGAAATTAATACAGGATACATCAATGTTCTCTAAATTATACATGGTCAATAAATAGTGACAAATTTTAATAATGTCAATTCTACATGTCTCATTTCTAAATATGTCACACTTCTTGGATGGCAAGAACTAGTATTTTTCCTTATATCAGATAAAGAGTTTTAGTCAGAATAATTATGTCCAAGTACAGATTATAGTTAACACTTAACTATGTTGATTATGGTATTTAACTACATTATAGTTACCATGAAAACACCATTTTCCATTGATGTTGCAAATCATTGAAGCCAAATTTGTAATACATTTCATATTGTTTCGAGCTTGGCAATAAAAGAAAGCAAGGTTTATGATTACTGATACAAGTGAAATTAACTCAGAGCCATATGAATGTACAAAGTACCTTTACCATAATCGACACATCCTTTATCGTTAAATTTCTCAAATCAGTAACTAAATTTCTAGGGACCTGAGACATGCATAGATTTAAGTAGTCATTCGAGCCTTGGGGGCTTGGTCTACAGATTTGTCTTGGAGGTTGAACATAAATTTATCGACTGGATTCAGAGTCGACTGCCAATTAGTCACTTCATAATTTCTTGGCCAATTCAAATGAAAAGCAGCAGTACAAACAAAGAACATGCTAAAGCCAAGTGAGACCTCAATCTAGACAGTGACAGGCTCAGGAGATGGCTCGGGAGGAGCACCACTGCTGCCATTGAGAACAATCACGTTTCCATCAGAGTCAACATCAACAATAACCGAATCACCTTCTTTGATTTCACGTGCAAGCATCTTCTCTGCCATGCTGTCCTCCAAAAGTCTCATAATAGCTCGTCTAAGCGGTCTTGCTCCATAGCTTGGGTTGTATCCTTCCTCAACGACCCTGTCTCTAAATCTCTCGGTCACCTGAAGTTCAATATCTTTGCTTTTGAGTCTCTCGAATACCTCCTTCAACATTATATCAGCAATCTCCTTCACCTCCAGCTTGGTGAGCTGCCGGAATACAATCATCTCATCCAATCTATTTAAAAATTCTGGTCTGAAATATTGTTTCAGCTCCTCTGTCACCAGGCTCTTGATACGGTTGTAACTGCTATCCTTCTCATCATAGTCTAGATCAAAACCAATACGACGACCTCCCTTCTCAATTACACTACTTCCAACATTTGATGTCATGATTAAAAGGGTGTTCTTGAAGTCTACTGTTCTACCTTTGCTGTCGGTTAACCTTCCATCTTCAAGAATTTGAAGCATCATATTGAACACGTCTGGATGAGCTTTTTCAATTTCATCAAAAAGTATGACAGTATAAGGACGGCGTCGAACAGCCTCAGTTAGCTGTCCACCTTCAGTGTAACCAACGTAACCAGGAGGTGAGCCAATAAGTTTCGAAACAGTGTGTCTCTCCATGAACTCACTCATATCAAGTCGGATCATGGCTTCTTCAGAACCAAAGTAGTAGGCTGCTAATGCTTTAGCCAGTTCCGACTTTCCAACACCCGTTGGCCCGGAAAAGATAAAGCTTGCAATAGGCCGGTTGGGGTTTTTAAGACCAACACGGGCACGACGAATGGCACGACTGATGGCTTTTACAGCTTCATCCTGGCCAATGACCCTTGTGTGGAGTGTCTCCTCCATCTTGAGAAGGCGATCAGATTCATCGGTAGACACTTTCTCAACAGGTATTCCCGTCCAAGAAGAAACAATGTGCTGAATGTCAACTTCTGTCACAACAGGACCTCCATCCCCTGCCTCACTCTCAGCTTTGGTCATTTCTTTGTTTTTGTCTATAAGAGCAGATATCTGTGCCTTGAGATCCATTTCCCTGTCTCGTAACTCCCCAGCCTGCACATTGATTAAAGTATCATAAGCTTTCATCTGATAAAACTGGTTCTAGGAAATCCTGCTGAGCATTACACTCAGACCTAAACAGCTAAGAATTATCATCATAATTGAAGCGTGAAAGAAAACTTCAGTATCTTCTATCTTACTTTTATTGGACGACAAAAGGGGTATATATATTACAAGGTTATGCTAAACCTTTTCAAAATCTTGACTTCTGACCGCTTCATTCTTCTCCTTAGTGATCTGCCTGAGTTCTTTTTCTACCTCCCTAGCTTCCCCGGGAAGCTGCAAAAGATACAAGCATCACTATAGATTGGTTAGGATAAGGAAAATAGCACCCAAAAAATTCCATACCTGAGCATGACGAAGTCGAACCCGGGAACCAGCTTCGTCAACCAAGTCAATGGCTTTATCTGGCAGAAAGCGGTCACTGAAATGTACAAAGAGAATATTCAGAGATAAGCTGACGATTTACCGGCAATGCCTGACTATGGTGTACATATGTGACTATTGCTAGGATCAGCAGACAAGCTAACATGAAGATATGAGCATACATCCTGAAGATGCTAAATGGAAAATTTCATCATTAGTCATGGTATACCCCTTGAGACAACTAATGAATGTCGCATTTTTTTTCTTTTCCAAATATTCATAATCCACCTGTGACAGGGTATGAAACAACATGCGCATATACTTTAAGATTACATGCAGCATGATAGCATCAAAGTTTCTGAAAGATTGGGTGGTTAGAAGCACCATTTTTCGGATGTTTCGAATACAGATGGCAATATATACATTTTTCCTCCAAAAAGTACTACCTGATATACTGGTATGACAGCTGTGCTGCAGAAACTAAAGCTTCATCAGTGTAACGAAGCTTGTGATGGATTTCATATCTTTCGCGTAGCCCTTTTAAAATCTGTATGGTTTCATCCACAGTAGGTTCTGGGACCTTAACAGGCTGGAACCGTCTTTCTAGTGCTGGATCCTTCTCAATGTGCTTTCTGTATTCGTCCAGTGTAGTAGCCCCAATACACTGATTGATGCAGATATCAGCGTGATAAAAAAACAAAAACAAATGTTGAGACTAATAATTGATAGGAGTAGACATGAAGCACTCCCATTGAACTTGATAGTAAAGGAAGTACACCAAAATTTGAGTCACTAAAAGTCATTCAGTAGCGCCAGCCACTAAGTCCAGGCTGAATGCACTAGAGCAACCCTTTGCAGAAAGTAAAGATATAAAGAAAGATATTTCTAGAACCCTACCAAGGAAACTGCCAATTATGGATATTTTTATCCAAATATGTAAAAGGTAATTTGCATGGCGATCTCCAAATTTTGACAGCCTTTGCACTTTCGTATCCATCGTTTTTTTCTTGGCATTTAACTCCTCAACATTCTTTTTTTAGATGCATTTGTCTTTTTTTCACAGTTTGCACCCAAAAGAGGCTTTAAATTTTGACTAAAGACAAATTTGAAATCAAGTTTCCATAAACAAGATATGAATACTAAAAAATGTAAAATTTTAATCTCCACTACCCACCCACCTACCACCCCCCACCCCTCATTCTGTCTCAGTACACCTCAATGCAACATTGTGTGTATCATTTGCAAACTGCTTTATGCCAGAGTTTCCAGTTTATTCTATTCTAATTGATTCTTGTTTCTGTTCAAAAAGGGAACAAATGAATAGTCAACTACACATAATTATGACTCCCAAAATGAATTGACAGGAGCAGATGCAGAGAAAGTGACAGAGAATGATGAAGAGTTACAGGGATGGAATCAGGGACAACGCAACTGGGCTGAGTGGACGTGGGGAGGGTGCAGCTGCATTTCAAGGAGGAAAAGGCGTCAATTGGAGGTGGGGGAGGGTTACAGAAGAAGGCCAACAGGTGAAGAGCAGGGGGAGCTGCTGGGGTGCACAATGCAGAATAAATTTAAGAAAAGAAGAAAATAAGTCATCGTTTGATTTTAAGCAAGTTTTTGTTCAGCTTTAGGGGGTGTTTGATAGTCATTTTTAAGTAAAAATGCATTTTAGAATAGTAAGTTGCTGTGAAATGTGTGGTTGAAAAATAAGGAAAAGTTTTTTATTTACGTGTAATATTATTTTAATAAAGAATGTGTGGTTGAAAAATAAGGAAAAATTTTTTATTTACGTGTAATATAATTTTAATAAAGAATGTGTGGTTGAAAAATAAGGAAAAATTTTTTATTTACGTGTAATATAATTTTAATAAAGAATGTGTGGTTGAAAAATAAGGAAAAATTTTTTATTTACGTGTAATATAATTTTAATAAAGAATGTGTGGTTGAAAAATAAGGAAAAATTTTTTATTTACGTGTAATATAATTTTAATAAAGAATGTGTGGTTGAAAAATAAGGAAAAATTTTTTATTTACGTGTAATATAATTTTAATAAAGAATGTGTGGTTGAAAAATAAGGAAAAGTTTTTTATTTACGTGTAATATTATTTTAATAAAGAATGTGTGGTTGAAAAGAAGAGAGAGAAAAATGCATTTTGAAAAAAAATAGCTACCAAACGGGGCCTTAATTATGTTTAAAAAAGGTGTAAAGTCGAGAAACGCTGTTTGTTATCCCAGATTAAATTTAATATGCATTTAGTCGAGTCTAGGAATTCCAAGTGCCATTTCAATAATCTAGAAATCATTCAGTTCAAAAGAGTCCCAGTAACTGTGAAGAGGAAAAGAAATTTGTTCCAAGAAAATTATCAGATTTTATTACATCTATTCCTTCTGACTTCAAGGTTTTTTCTGGACATTTCCTTGAGGATGTACAATAATAGGAGTATCAAGTCTTGTGAAGCAACTGCAGGGAAGGGATGGGCTTATTGCAGGTGGACGAGAAGTGAGCAAGGCCGGAAGCTGAGGTGGCTTTTTTGCATTTTTGAACTTGAGGGCAAACTTGTCTTTTCAACAATTTTAACAGGTCTTTTGGACGGAAACCATGAAGAAGGACAAAATTGCTACTAACAAAGAAGGCTAGAGAGTTAAATGCGAAGAAAAAGAGGTTGAGAATAGAAGTAAAAAACATGGTGGCTAAACGTTCGGGACAATATGTGCAATTTACCTAGAGCTCAAACATCACTAACATAATTCAGTAACAAGTGTACACACAACTTGAGCATCTGTTCTAATATAAGTCATCCATGGAATGTTAGGGAAGACAGAATTTTCAAGGAAGGATAAAGTACTGTGCAACTACTATTTAGACCCTTCAAGATCAAAGTAAAAATAATGGATGAATCAGATCGTAAAATCATAATCGAACTCAACACTAATGGTTCTTTTTCCAAACCAAAACAAATTTATAACGTTGGGTGAGAGGGGCAATGAAATGTGGAACACAAAGGAAGATGAGATTTCCAAAAAATAATTAAACTAAAGAAATTGTTGTTTCATTTTCAAAATGTCCACAGGGCAGAGTAATTCACATTTTTAAGAATGTGATGAATGATGAACATCATCAAATGCATCTGTACGCTACATATGGAAGATTTGATGGTTCAATTTGTGATCTCCTAACCTGTAATTCACCCCGAGCGAGAGCAGGTTTCAAGATGTTTGCAGCATCAATCGCCCCCTCTGCTGCTCCTGCTCCAATCAATGTGTGCACTTCATCGATAAAAAGTATAATTTCATCACTCTGTTTAATTTCCTCCATCAGTTTCTTCAGCCTTTCCTCAAATTCACCACGATACTTTGTCCCAGCAACAAGAAGACCCATATCAAGGGTTATAACCTGAAAGGATGCAAAAAGGAACTTTTACTATTGGGACATAGATACTGCAGGTTTCAGTATTTAATAAAAACGCATTCAATTAGTACCTAGCCATATTCCACTAAACATAAAATTATAGTTACAAAATATAAAAACTGAAAGAATGAAAAGGGAAGGGAGGGTGGATATCAATATCACGGTACCAAATTGGCTAGCATACTCTACATTTTGTTCTGAATCCATATAACACTAAGAATTTATAAAATTCATACAAATCCTCGTACAACCAAAAACACCAGAGAAAAGACAAATTAGCAATAATGCATGTGTAGGGAGTTGTTTTGATACTTCTTTTTGGAATTCTTTTTCATAATTCTTAGTGGATCTCCAAGATCCACTACAAAATGGGAAAAGAAGAACTGAACTCTTCAAATTCATCTGGGAACTTAACTCTTCAAATTCATCTGGGCATTACCAAATTGGGAAGGGCGGCCCTTTAAAAAAGCCATCCAACTCATACTCATACTCACAGGACTTTAGGTTGTATTTGGCAAACTAGATTAGATGGTATGAAAAATTTAGTATAAGATTAGAAAAGAGTGTAGTAGGCAGATGGTATTATATTGGATTAAGGTGGATAATATTCTTCGATTTCATTCAGAAGAATAACATTTACATTATGTTAGCCGGCCTAAACCCAACTCCACCATCCACATTATGTTATATGGTTAGCTGTTACTTTTTTAACTAAAAAATAGAATATCTTATCCACCATAATACCATCCACCCAGTACTATCTATTCTAATTTTATATTAAATTCCTTGTACAACCTTATCCAAAGTCCTAAACACAATCTTAGGGTACCACCTAACCAACCTGCCTATTTCAATTCAAGCCTTCATGTAGTATCTTACCTTTTTCCCCTCAATTGTCTCGGGAACATCCCCACTGGCAATTCTCTGAGCAAGGCCCTCCGCAATAGCTGTCTTCCCAACACCCGGTTCTCCAATAAGGCAAGGGTTATTTTTTGTACGCCGCCCCAGAATCTGAGTGACACGTTCAATTTGCTGCTGCCTCCCAACGACAGGGTCCAGTTTACCCTAAAAAAAACCAAGATATCAAGCACCTGTTCGCCCTCTATGAAAAGTTAATATATGCAGACATCGAGAAATATAGAAAATTACCTCCTCAGCTAGCTTAGTTAAATTAGTGCCATACTCCTCCAGTGTAGGCATCTTGTTGCCTGAGCTTCCACCTCCAACACCAGCACCAACAGCTTCTGCACTCTCTCCCACCATTCTAATAACCTAATCACCCAAAGGAATCGATATGCAGTTAGTTTTAACGGAATCACAAAATTAGTAGACATGAAGCAAAGAGAAGTAGCAATTCTTGCCTGTGTACGAATATTACTTGGGTCAGCACCTAAATTCTCGAGAACACGAGCTGCCACACCTTCGCCCTCACGAAGCAATCCCAGCAGCAAGTGCTCCGATCCAATGTAATTATGTCCTACATCAAAAGGAAATAAATTTAAAATCAAATTACAGATCAAAAGAATTATCCTCAAAACCACACAATGATCTTCTTTCCTGAGGCTAACAGTAAAGCTAATTTATAAATAGAATCTTTATTTATATGCTACCCCAAATAGAGTGAAATAAGATTGGAACAACAAAATTTTGTATTAGAAGTTGAAGAAGTAAGAGTATAACATGCGTAACAGACTAACAGGAATCGTTGCCTCAGGGCAACAACACTCTCAAGAAACTAGCACACACTAAATGAAACAATAAGAAGGTTACTGATAGACCCTCACATTCAATGCAAGTTGTTATTCATTTGCTATTCTAGAATATTCCTTAGTTGGTTAGCAAAAGGGTAAAAATGTGATAGAAAGTTGGTAGAGTCTTTATAAATATAATAAGGGGGGAGCTGTGATATTCATCCAGGAAAATAGCGGGAAAATTGGGAGAGTCCAGGCCTCTCGAATGCCTTGGAAATTGTCATTTTACTTCTGTTGAATATCAATATAACATTCAGTTTTTCATTTATTTGCTTCAACAGTCAGGTTTCTATCAATTGGTATCAGAGCACTCGATTCTAGGGAGGATGGAAACAAATTACAGCAAGAAATCTGAGGAGATATGGATAGGAGACCAAGAACTTGATTCTGGATTGGATCCGCTTGGCCGTCTCAAAATATCAATATTCTACGGAGAGGATACAAAATGGTGGGTGTCGGAGGCAGAGAAGATTTTCTCTAGAAATCAATTGTCAGAGGTGGAAAAAATAGAGGCCGCCTTAGCTTGTTTTGACTGGAAAACCTGGAATTGGTATGAGCAGGAAGATCGATCACGGCAGGTGCGTACATGGAGAGAATTGAAAGGGTTGATGATCGACAGATTTGGTTTATCTCAAGAGGACATAGACTGGAATCCACCTCAACAAGAAGACACCATAAAAAAGAAGGGAAAACCGTTAGGAGTTGTAAAGTCTCCGTCGGAGAGTCATGAACCAGGATCGCTACTAAAAAAAACATCGAAGAAGATGAAGATGCCGACAATTCCAGATACGGTGTTCCATGGTGATAATTCAGCTAGCGGGATTATTGGAGAGGAGAGGACGGTCAAGGAGAAACAATTAGAAGTTCCAGTTAATAATTTGGAATCGATGATCGCTGAAATGATGAAAAAGATGGATCTGATGTTGAAGAAAGGGGGAGAAATTCATAGCAAATCAGCCACCTCGCTTGAACACACTTCCAATTCTGAAATCCCAAACAAATCTGATGACACCGGAGATGATGCTCGCTGTGATGGATCATGGAAGAGGCAGGGGCACATTGTGGCAGAAGAAATGTCTTCAGAATTCACAATGAATTCGAGGGTAATACCAGCAGTGGAAAAGGAGACTAAAGAGGGGATCGCAGGACCGGCAGCTACCAAGTCTGAAGCTACTGTCACTTCTAAAATTTCACCCGAGTGTGAGGATACCGAGACAAGCGCAGGCGATGTCAGTGAGAAAATCAGAGCTTCTTGGCCGGCACGCACTGAAGTGGTGAGGGAAGGCATCCTGATTAATGAACTAAACTCAATTAATTTGACCAAAAACACTGTGGATCCAGAAATTTCTGTCAAAACCAACGAAGCAAGGGAGGTACAGTCGGAAGGTATCGCTGGGAGGAAACTATCGCCGGAGAAAGTTGGAGACTAACTGGAATCTTACTATCACCATCGCCGGAAGGGAAGAATTCGGGACACTGCGTGGAGGGGATTTGGATGAACGATATGGAGAGTATGATGAAGAAATAGGAAGGAACTGGGCTGAAAACTGACTTATATAAAAAACCTATGGGCTATGATTTGAAGTTGGGCCAAAGAGTTGAAGATCAAAATGAATCCTTGAGGCAGGCCAAATGGCCAGATAAGAATGAATTATGGAGAATGGCCCAAAGGAAGCATGCCCATTTAAACTTTAGCCCATCTACATCTAAAATTAATATAGATAACCCAAACCCACAACTCCTTTATTTCCCAGTCCACACACGTAACCCGCCTGTCAATCAAAATTCAACTTCATTTTCAAGCCCAAAATCAGATTCCATTACTCCAAAATTCGTTAAATTGCAGCGACTACAAGCAAACTGCCAACTTACTGTTTCGCAGCTTCAAAGGAGAATGAAAAATGGTTTATGCCTTTACTGTGACAAGGAAAATCCAGTAAGCCATAATTGTGAAAATAAAAGGTTACAATTGTTGGTGGTAACTGATAATTTGGAGGAAGTATGCTTCGTAGTGGTGGGAAACGAGGATGGAAAAAAAAAATGAATCTTCCAAGGATGATAAAGTTCGAAGATGTGGCCAGCTATCAATTCTTCACAACTCATCGGTCTCAAAAATTGGACATTTTGCAGGTAGAGGCCACTGGATATGGAGTTATTTTGGATAATATACTTGTGATAGCTGCCCGGCTAAGTTGGTCCATCAATTTCGAAGGGCTGAAACATCCCTTCTTTTCAATGACCATCGCGGGATCTCTTGCGAAGGAAGTTATGTGGTTGATCGTTGAACGGCTCTGACACAATAACCTTCACCTTGAGGACAAGGTGAATTTCGGAGGGGCGACTAGTGATAGACCCTCACATTCAATGCAAGTTCTTATTCATTTGCTATTCTAGAATATTCCTTAGTTGGTTAGCAAAAGGGTAAAAATGTGATAGAATGCTGGTAGAGTCTTTATAAATATAATAAGGGGGGAGCTGTGATATTCATCCAGGAAAATAGCAGGAAAATTGGGAGAGTCCAGGCCTCTCGAATGCCTTGGAAATTGTCATTTTATTTCTGTTGAATATCAATATAACATTCAGTTTTTCATTTATTTGCCTCAACAGTCAGGTTTCTATCAGTTACCTAGCTGGCGAGCTTCCTCTAGCGAGAGTTCTAAAACACGCTTTGCACGAGGAGTAAAAGGTATCTCCACAGCAACAAATCCACTTCCCCTTCCAATTATTTTCTCCACCTCCACACGGGCATCTTTCAAATTAATTCCCATGGATTTGAGAACCTTAGCAGCAATGCCAGTGCCCTCACCAATAAGCCCCAACAGAATCTGCTCAGTTCCAACAAAATTATGACCAAGCCGTCTTGCCTCCTCTTGGGCAAGCATAATAACTTTTATTGCCTTCTCTGTAAAGCGCTCAAACATCGCTCGTGGTGCAATTCTGCATTTTCTTTGTCGTGCGACAGAGGTGACACCAGCTACCTTCGATTGGAGTGTCTGGCCAGTTTGCCTCAGCATCATATCTAAGGCATTAGATCCTCGCAATCCTGAGAAATTTCTGATCCTTAGAGGCATTGTTTGTGAACTACACAGCATTGTAACCATTCTTTTTGTGCTCCCAGATCCCTTGAACTGTCTATTCCTTTCAACAGCAACTATATTAAGGTTATTAGTCGACTGCAGTAAAGTGCTTGCCATGATTGCGTTAAGGGGATCTGCATATATGAAATGACAATTAGGCAACTAAGATTGAAATCCAAAGACCATTATCAAGTTGTGAGCACTAAATAATTCTACTTGAAGCTCCAAAATATGTGATGGCAAAATATAATAGCAAGCACAATCCATTAAAATTTCATCTTGTGTGAGGAGCTTGAACAGAAGCACGTCAATGTTACATGGAGTACACTATAACAAGAAAATGAATCCCGTCTTCAACGAATATGCACTGTTCACTCTATAACCTAGAAACATCCTAAAATTATAGTGTTGTTTTCTAGAAGAAACAAAAATGGTCAATTAGTGGGTGTTTGGACATGAAAGGATCCATGCACAACCACAACTACCTAATTACCCAGAGTTCCAGTTTTGGAGGCAAAGAACACATTGAAACGCTCCAGGAGAATACAAGAAAGTCACTTCAACACATGTAAAGTTAATGCAACTGAAGGCTAAAATAAAGCAGAAAGGCCTCTAAAATTTTATACAGAGACCTGAATATACATAAAACAAAAATTTCTTAAAAACATAATCTAACAAATCATTTTAAATCATGGGAGCTGGCTCAAGGGATTGCACACGTGGCACCAAGCTAATGCAATTACGAACTATTCAACTTGTGATTTGATAATCTCAAAGACTCAAAACAAGGGATAAACTTCTTCAATTAAAGCATACAATCAGAAATCAAAAACCGAGTGAAAACATAACTGTTCGTGGAACAAGTAAATTTGAACCTCCAAAAAGGGTAGGATAAAGATGGGATTCTAGAACTACAATACTACACAACAAGACAATTGTTTATTATAATTTTTTTTCTTGAAGTAGCCAAATTCATGCACAGCCGAGTTGCATAGAATTGAACTATATGAACTCCAGTTAGTCAAATTCGATTGTACAATATACGCAAAGCAGATTAATAAGTCCACTATGAATTTAACAGGCAAATAAATCTATGACATTTACCACCCAAAAAAGCAAGAAAAGAATATACTTGGGGTAAAAATACAGAAAAACAAGTCATATGAAAGCAGAGCTAATCTAATAACAAATCATATTAGCTGGAGTGTTGATAAATGCATATAAAAAACACGTATTAGCTCTTTTAATTAGTATTAACTCCCATAATATAATATCAACCATACAGAAATAACTAGTAAGCTAACATTTCATTTCATCACTACTATTAATAACATATTTTAAATTAGCAAATTAATTCAAAAAGAAAAATTAAGTCAACATTACAAACTTTAATCGGTAAAGATAAAGATTAAATTTTTAAAACAAAACCCACCCAGATATGAGAGGAAAACAGAAAAAAACCGTCAATTAGCCTCAAATGAACCCGGAAATCAAAGATATCAACAGAAACTAATTAATTTCAATACACAAAATATAAATTAGGTCAACATTAAAAAATATATTTAATATTTTACCTGAATGAAATTGATTCACAGAAAGTAGAATGAGACAATTATTGAGGTCTCTGAATATGGAAAAGAGAGAAGTAAAATGGACGGGCAGATTTCAGGGGGTAGAGAGTGAGGTCGAAGATAGTACAGAGATAGATAAGGATGAAAATGGACTCGTTTGCTGCTTTTCCTTTTGCTAAATCCGTCGTCTTTATTGTACAAATTATTCTCCTTTTATAAAACGTTATTGTTTTAAGTGAAACTCATACTCTTTTTAAATAAAATTTAAATTGGAACTCTAATTGCAATTATTTGTTCTTTTTTTTTTAAATTTATTCAATAGAAAAAGATAAATTTATCATTTTACATATCTTTAATGAGAGAAATGGACGGTAAAAATGCTTTGCGCAAAGAATGATCAATCTAATAATCCAAATGTTAAAATTGAAACAATAAAAATAATTTGCACAATAAAGATTAACTATAGAGACGTTTTGAGTTAATTAGTAGTAAGCACGTGTGTTGCACGTCATATATATCGATGAATTATATACGTAGTATTTTGAATTATTAATACCATTCTTTTTAAATAATAGAGGTAATTGACATTGTTAAAGGGAAAATTACAATTGTGTGTATATATATATAATGTTGAATAAACTAAAATATAATGATATGATTATAATAATACTTCCTTGTACACAATGTTTTTTTTTCTAGTGATCGAATGTCCCAATTAATATATTAATGCAACATTTAATAAATTTGTTACTTCATTAATACATTCATGCAACCATTTAATTTTGTAACCTCAATTAAATAATAACCTAATTGATGGATTATAATGTAAATCATGAAATTAAAATAAAGGCTTTGTTGATAAAAAAATAAAAATTACTTTGTCAATAAAAAATAAAACTCGATGGATGAATTATAATGTAAATCATAAAGATTAATAAGGGTTTTATTGATGGAAAATAAAAATTGTAAGATCAAAATACTCAATTGAATGATAAGGCACTAAATTTTCGTTGATTTATTTTTTTATTTTTAATAATTGAATTTCAATTTCACTCCTTATATTAATTTCAACCCAAATGCCAAATATCAATTAAATATTTCACCACTTATATTAATTTTAAATCAAATAATAAATATTAATTAAATTGGTAATAAGGGTATCGTTGATGAAAATTAAAAATTCTAAAAGAAAAAAAAACCAATTGAATAATAACTTAATGAATGAATTATAATGTAAAGCATAAAGATTAAAAATTGCTCTGTTGATGAAATATAAAAATTCATTGCATGAATTATAATGTAAATCATGTAAATTAATAAGGATTTTGTTAATGAAAAATAAATTTGATTCGTTGGTGCAAAATAAAAATTGTAAAAACAAAATGATCAATTGAATAGTAAGTCGCTGATTTTGTTTTTTGTTTTGATATAATTTAGTTTCACTCATTATATTAATTACAATCCAAAATGATAAATATTAATTAAATATTTCACTACTTATATTATATTAATTCTAAACCAAATGATAAATATTAAGGCCCCGTTTGGTACCCTTTTTTTTTCAAAATGCATTTTTCTCTTTCTTTTTTCAACCACACATTCTTTATTAAAATAATATTACACGTAAATCATGAATTTTTCCTTATTTGTCAACCACACATTTCCAATCAATTTACTATTCAAAAATGCATTTTTACATAACAATATCTCTCAAACACCCTCTAATTAAATTGGTATTCTAAATATGAGAGTATAATGGGCATATAGTTAAATATGTAGGGATAAATTTAATATTTAAAAGTTTCTCCACCATCCCCACCTTTAATATATCGTAGATTACTCTCCTCAAGGTAAATTATAACTGAGCTACAAAACTTCATAAAATAGCACTTAGGTCCTCATTTAATTTTTTTTCTAGCACGAAAATTCTCAGAACTCTAAATTTCGATACACATCATTCCTAGTGCATCAAAATCGTCAATTTTTTACTAAGATTTTGCAATCTGTACACTTAGATGTCAACCCCATTGTACAAATAACATTTTTGTTTTTACTATTAGAGCCTCAAGTCTTGCACGTGGGTCATATTTTGCATAGGCGATGATAGCCGGGCAAGGGCGATGGTGTTGGTGGCTTCCCGATCCCAATTTTGCCAATGCTATTTGGAAGGAATTATGCTACTTTTACATTATTTATGTACAACTTGGATGACATTTGAACAACTGACAAAATCGAGATCATTGATTGTTTTAAGTGATAAAATTGTGTGTCGCGTGATACAATATAAAACAAAATATCAATTAGAATGTATATATAGCAAGATTGATTTAGAAGAAG